AACCACTAAAAAGAATGACATGCATATGTAATGTAAAAATGAATATAAAATGAATGCAGTTACATTGTGTCATCCGGTATTCGGGTCCATAGTGGAAGCCGAACTTCAATAATGGAAAGCCAAAGTTGAAGCTTACTTCAGACGCTATGGGGAAGAAGTGGGGTCACCAAATATTTGGTACAAAGGAAAGACTTGTAATAACATAGTACGGAAGTCAGTCTGCTGTTTGCTTCCATCCGTACACGCTTCTACTTGATTCCCTATGCACGCGCTCTCCAACAATTTAACGTCTCCGTTTGGACCGTTTTGCCCCCAACACGTGTCGCTCTCTGCCGGCATTCCTACCATAGGCAGATTCCTACCATAAAGGTATCCCTCCATATTGACTCATTCACTAATGAAATCACTGGTTTCTCACATGATAATTATTCACACAATTTCCAAAAAACAACAAATCATATCTTTCCTTTTGCCAATAATTTGCACCACAAAAATTTGCAATCCCACAACTTTTCATAATTTTATCTACCCCATGAATAAAATCAATGTTCAAATCTTCATTCGAATAAATATTTTCTTTGACAAAATCCCTCTTCATGGCAACTCACAAATTAACAATCTTATGTACCTTCACAAGATTTAAGTGTCTTTCCTGCTTGTATTTCTTCACTTTTTTGGCTTCTGGCTTGATCAAATTTAACTATGTACAATCAACAATTTGGCAGGAACTTTTTTCTTGATCACTGCACAACATCAACAATCACGACATAGTCTCTCTTTTTAGATCTCTGTCCTATTAGGGTCACTTTTTCCTAATTCCAATCAACGAACGAGGACTCCAAGACCAATTCTTGTGGTCCAATGCTTCAATATACGAGTACTCTACCACAACTGCTGCATCCTTCAATAGTACAAGCTCCTCTATCAAAAAACTTTGCACACTCTTTAGACACCACAAATACCCTAAGGTCAAACTCTTGAGCCTAAGGCTCTGATACTAAATGTAGAATCCAAGAAATTCAACAAAAATATATAGAAGATATATGGGATAAAATCAATAGATATGGGGAGGTAATTTACACACATAAAAATATGTATAGGAGAAGAGGAATAAAACTAACAATAATCTATTAATCACATCATAAGAACAAGACTTTCAATCCTTCACTTTTCTCAATTAAACACAATAATATGACTCCCTATTTATAAACTAGATGACTCTTCTCAACTTGTTCATAATAAACAAATCTTACAACCATAAGAAATTTATTAATACTAGCTCCATCCGTCCCATTGAAAGTGTCATACTTTCCTTTTTTAACTGTTCCAAAATATTTGTCATGTTTGATATTTTTAACTACTTTATACTCTAAAATTTCCCTTATACCCTTCATTAATGATGCATAAAGACAAATATGATAGGATTGATTTCTATTTTTTACTTTGATCAGCACATGAATAAGGGTAAAAGTGGAATAAAAGGAAATTTTTTTTGGCGAAATATACTATGCATAAAAAGCATATATCCCCAAACATGACTAAATATATGGGACAGAGGGAGTAAGATACTAATTCCTAAATAATAAAATTATCATAACATGACTTTAATAAAATTACTAAAATCTTAACTTGACTAAAACACTACTAAATAATAATATGAAAATTTCTAATTTTAAGTCTTGATTTAATATGCTAACATTGCCTCCTTTAAATCAAACTCTCTTTTGGATCAGGTTCACTATCAATAATCCCCTTGATTTTTGCTGCTGCAATATTCCACACACTTGGACAGATTTATCTCGTCACTCAACTTATTTTTCACTTGTGAAAATAATTTACACTTCTGAATAGACTGTTTTCATGACCCAATTTGATGTCAACTTATTGACAATTCATCTTGTGATTTTCATAATCACAATTTAACTAACAAGATTCTTTTTCAATCTCTATCGTAACATTCGCAATAAATTTGACAATTCTCGAACCAATCTTATGGTCCAATCCTCATAAACTAGATATTCCATGACCAAACTTGTAATCTAACTCGATCAACTAATTTCTTCACAACAATTTTTATACTTTAATTCTAACAATGGAAAAAACCCACAATTAATCCTTGTAATCGGGTCAATTCGTCAATGTCTATAGGCATCCCAACATCAATTTATTGAACGGGTAAAAAACAAAAAAGCCCCCTGTGGTAAACCTAATACACAGAAAAGCCCCCATGGTTTCAAAATATACAACACGACCCCTCATACTTTGAATTAAATTGTAAAGGTGACGGAATCCGTTAAACTTAACGGAAATGGACAAAATGACCAAAATGCCCTGATATAATTAAGCAAAAGACAGTTCAAAAAAATCATTTGTTTTATTCTCTAAATAGAGAGAATTGAGGGTTAAGGGGTAGAATAGGTATATTTGATAAAAATTAGGTATAAAATTTTTTTTTAGGTTCCAATAAGTCATTTCCGTTAAATTTAACGGATTCCGTCACCTTTACAATTTAGTTCAAAGTATGAGGTGTCGTGTTGTATATTTTGAAATCATAGGGGGCTTTTCTGTGTATTAGGCTTACCACATGGGGCTTTTTTGTTTTTTACCCTTTATTGAACCTAGAGCTCTGATATCACTTGTTAGCACAAAAAATCAGACAGCAGAAGATATTGAAGAAATGATAATTTGGATATATTAAGAGAAATCAGGGACGACGAATGAAAACTTCAAGAAAGGTGCAAATAACCTTGAGACTTTATTGGTTCATCAGAAACGGTGATGACTATGCAAAATCTAGACGATAAGTAAGCCATAAACAAAACAAGAATAAGAACTTGCAAAACGCAAACTAAAGCCCTCGAGAGGCTAATAATTTTATTATTCATAGGGACCAACTCTCTCTCAAATACAAACGTGGAGTTCAAGTCCTTAAATAGAGAAACATAACCATAAATCCTATTCTAATTATAATACCAAAACATGACTCAACCTTATTTCCTAAATCAACTTTGACATAAATTCTAATTTAGTTACCAAATAATAAATCAACTTCTAAAATTATTAAAATTCCAAATAACTTGGTTTAATTTTTTTGTCGACAGAGGACTTGATAATTTTGAGAGAGGATGGTGAATGGTGATGATGATGGTCATCCACTTTGAGTTAAAGCCTTAAAGGGCTGGAGTCGGGATAAAGGTTTAAGGCTACCTTTTGTCTTGTACATTGTGCAGCAAGATATCTCAGATTGACCAAAGTTAGCATTCTTCAGTATTCCACAATTTTGGGTTTAACCCCCTATTAATTGTCATCTAAATGCTTGTTTGCTTGTTTTTATTAAACATCTAACAATAAAGGGATGAAAGGCATTAATGATCTTATCTGATATTCTTCTCAAGCAATTTTGCTTGCCAAGTTTTTGGAGGTCTTCACTAGCAAACAAATTTCCATGCACCAATGGTGACTTCCTTTAACTTTAGCTATACCAGTTGAAAAGGCAAACTCAACGTGTGTGTAGCATAATATAAAGAATGATAGTATGGGTATGTAATTTATTAAAGTTGTTAACTAATAGTACATTTTATGCTTATAAATTATAAATTAGGAAAAAGTAAGAAAAAAAGAAAAATAAATACAAAGCTGAGGGTATGGTTGGAGGGAAAAAAAATATAGTAATATCTATACTATCTATAAAGGGAGGGCATTGAATTTGGTGTAAACCTTTTATGTCATTTCTTAGATTTTCAACTTTACCCTTACAATCACTTAATTGCTCCCTCCGTTCCATTGAAACTGTCATGCTTTCCATTTTGATCTGTCCCAAAATGTTTGTCACATACCTAAAATGGCAAATGAATTTTTCTCCTTCTTCTAATTCTACCCTTCTGACACTACCTTTAAATATGTGGGTCCAGCATAAATTGTCAAAAGAACAAGACACGCTTTGAAGTGCGTGGCTGATGCTAGCCAATGTTTACTAGCGCGTGCAGTGCAAAATAAGCAAAAAGTTAGTGTAGCTTTAATAATTTGTGGGTCCAAAGTGTTGACTAGTTTGCATAAACCATTTGAATAACTTCATCCGCACCACTATAGTCAAAATTTGGACAGCTTGGCGGGGATAATTTGGGAATTACAGACAGCTATCTCTTATTCTTGTCTACTATTGAAAAATATTCCAATTCCCGAAAAGTGACAAACTTTTCGGGACGGAGGGAGTATATCTTTATCATCCGATTACATGTTGTTGATTATTGCCAACCAATGTAACCACCCACAAACATTATAACAATTACATTAATTAAAACATTATAACCACTACGTTAATTAAATTTCTACTTAAAAAACTTTTAAAAGATGAAAGTTTTTTTTTTCTTTATGAAAATTTTGTACTAAATGCTTCCATATAAAAAGTGATTGTGATTGTTCATAAATTGTATACACATCGAATGTGCCTTTATCACAAGTAATAAATAAAGTGGCGGATTAGGTTGTTAGGACTTAGGAGGATAAGGAAGTCTATTAAGTGGTGGTTAATTTGACGTAATAAACTAAACATGGAAGTTGGGGGTGGAAAGGGGCACACGGGATCGTCAGTGCCACTTTTCCAGTGACAATTCAGTACCACTTCTATATTTATGCCAAGTGTCTTGTTTATTCAATTTGTCATATGTTGTTTATTTAAATTTCTTCTACCATCACATGATAAGTGGGACATCAAGGATCCCAACAGCTTGTACTACTGTCGCTTCATTAGGTACTACTGCTTGTACTACTCTTGCTTCATTTCTCTCTGCATTAGGGCCCCAATTAGCTTTCTATTCTGCTGGTAGTAGTAAAGTTAGAGCGTCGTGTGGAAATGCTTTGAAATTTCAATCTGGATTGAGGAATGATATTAATAAAATCAACAGTCTTGATGATGCTCTGAGCTTGTAGAGCAGATGGTCCGGATGAGGCCTCTGCCTTGTGTTATTCAATTCAATCAACTGCTAAGCCGAATCGCAAAGATGAAGAATCATTATTCTTCTGTTTTTCCCCTAGTTAGAGATATGTGCGTCAAAGGCATGGTGGTTGATGAGTGCACCCTCAATGTTGTGATTAATTGTTATTGTCTGGTGGGTCGAGTGGATTTGGGGTTTTCTGTACTGGGTGGATTCTTTAAGCGTGGTATTGTGCCCAATGTAGTCACCTTTAATACTCCACTCAGAGGACTGTTTCAAGAACATAAGGCTCTCCAGGCACACGAATTGTTCAAAAAGATAATATATGAAAAACTTTGTGAGCCCGATGAAGTTACGTCTGGGATTGTGATACGTGGACTTTGTCAGAAGGGAAACACTGGAACTGCCATTGACTTCCTCCGAGCAATGGAAAAACAAAAAAGACCATGTAAACCTAATGCAATTATTTACAGTACCATCATTGACAGCTTGTGCAAGGATAAAATGGTTGATGAAGCTCTTGCCCTCTTACAGGTGATGATTTAAAAGGACATTCCCCCGAATGTTGTCACTCACAATTGTTTGATTCAAGGTCCGTGCAACTTAAGCAGATGGAAGGACGTTGACAAGCTCTCTTCTGAGATGAAGGTTTATAACATTGTTCCAGATGTTATTACTTTTAGTATAGTGGTGGATGCACTATGTAAGGAAGGGCATATAGAAGATGCTGACGAGATAGTCCAGATCATGATCCAGCAAGGTCAAAATCCCGACCGGGGCACACACAGTTCCTTAATGGATGGGTACTGTTTACAGAAGCGAATAGATGATGCAAGGAGAGTTTTCAATACCATGGTTGCTAGTGGCCTTACACCTGATCTCCATAGCTATGGTATTCTAATAAATGCCTATTCCAAGACCAAGAAAGTGGAAGCAGCCATGAATCTCTTTCGAGAGATTCGACATCAAGGTTTAACACCTAATATCGTTATTTATAACACTGTGTTGCAGGGGTTATTTAGTTCAAGAAGGCATCTTAGTGCATGAGAAATTTTCAATGAGATGCAAGCTTCTGGCATGAAGCCTGATTTTCACACTTACTGTGTGGTGTTGGATGGATTATGGAAGACTGGACATGTTGACGAAGCATTGCAGTTATTCCATGCAATGGAAGCTGATGGAAAAAATATTCACATTTGAATCTACACTATCATGCTTGATGGGTTGTGCAAAAGCAGGAGGCTCGATAGTCCCCGACATCTTTTCAAAAATCTCTTCCTCAAAGGATTGGACCCTCATGTCAAAACATACAAAACCATGATTGCTGGCCTGCTTTCAGAAGGTTTGCTTGTCGAAGCTAAAGAGCTTGTTGCAAAAATGGAAGAGAAGGGTTGCCTGGCAGATAGTGTTACATACAATGTTATTCTGCATGGACTCCTTACGGGAGGTCATTATGAGGACGCAATGGCCTATTACGAAGAAATGGTTCACAGAGTATTCTCTTTGGATGCATCTACCTTTTCCATTTTACTTGATTCTGCTACTGAAAAATAGAAGAATCCTTCTCTTCTTATGTTGATGCTGAAGATTGATCCTGGTGGCAAGAAGTTTATGGACGGGAGATAAAGAGGACCTTCACATTATTTGCAACTTTTGGTCCTACCGGTTTTTGTCCCCTAAACATTTATTTTCTGGAACTAACACTATTTAAGTTCACTTTTGAACTGGGTATTTGAGGAACTCTGTTGGTCATATTTTTGCGAATCCCTCAAGATCTTCAGTCCTGGTGGAGGAAGCCGCAGTCCATATGTCAAGTTCAATTGATAAGTGTAGCAATTCATAGAGATTCTCTGCTGTTAATTGGATTTCCTTAATTGGTTAGTTTAGCAGATCAGAAATCTGCTGCGGTTAATTGGATTTGTACCACTTAGAGAGACTTCTTGTTGATATTTCCATGGAGAACCTCAGTGTGGCATATCACTTAAGTGGTAACTTTTTCAGGTTCTTTTTGTTTGTTTTTCATGGGTGTTAGTACTTTAGCTTGTCTGTCATTTTTACTTCAGATAACTAATATTTAAAGTTATTGTAAATATGAAATGAAATGCGATATGCAAATATAGTTTGTGACTCTGAATTTCTGGACAAGGTTTAAGCTGCATTCTTGTAATTTTGATAAATTTTTTTCTAAGATAAAATTGTTACTTTATTTCAATTCCTAAATAGTGCTTAAGATTCAGCCGGTTCAAAAGCGTAAAAACTTTCTAGACCAGTTTCTTGCTTTGGATTCATAGTTTGAGGTCCCATAGATAGTCGTGGTTATTGATTTGTTTTCACTGCATTTGACTGAATCCAACCTTTTAAGTATGATCCAGAATAAGTATTCTGATCACTTCCCCTTTAATTGTCAATGCTGTAATAAATTGTATAGACATCCAGTAGAAGTGTGGCAAAAAGGTCATTCTCTGGCAGTAACTTGGAACACTTCATCCAAGAAAGTCTCCGTCCTTTATATATAAAAAAAGCAAAAACATACATTTGCTGTTTAGTATGAAAGCTGAATACTCCCACGTCTCAGCATGAATGCCAAACTTCAGTAAAGCCAGGGCTATCCCCCATATTATTTTGGATCTAGTCTATCATGCAGTCACAACTTTCCAAGATGGCAGAATATCTTCGAATGATAAGGCGCAGGAAACATGCAGACATCAAGCATAGTTTTCCTTCTTTCGTTTGTTTTATTAAGTTGTTAAGCAAGGTTATGTTTCGCTAATTTTCGTGCCTCAACAGATTTGTTGAATCTATCAAATTCAGTTGCTCTTCAATTCAGTATAGTTGCTATGTAAGTGTTTTGATGGAATAGACGTTTATAGTCACTAGCTACTAAGAAATCAATTAAACAAATACGTTAGGGAAAGGTGTAATATTTTCATGACATTTAAGAAGATACGCATTTCATACTATTTGTTTTGATAGCTGCAAAATTTAGACGTTCTTGAAATTGGAGCCGTGCCGTGCCTGATATTTCTCTGATCAATTTTCAACTAAAGAAGGGCCTACGGATTTCACAAACAATGTATATGCACTTGGACATACTAGCTTTGTGAAACGTAGAAAAGATGGCATCTTCTTTAACACTAGCTGAAATGGAAGATTGCGAGGAGAAGTTTTGTTTTTGCTTATGTTCTTAAATGATGAAATATTGTGCATCGACTTCTAAATCACTCCATGCAGGTAATCTGTTATTAATCTGTTTCTTTTCTGGGATCTTCAAAAGTCTACTTATGCTCCAGTTGTGTGTGTGTGTGTGTGAAACATCACATGCCGACATGGAAACAGTTTTATGCTTGGCTCGCATGCTAGGGGTAAAAGATTAAGTGGGAGCATTCCGAAAAGCCTGAGAAGTTTCTAGCTCAATGAATCAACATGATGCTGTACCAGTATCAAAGGGTGCAATACATCAAGTACCTACTGCCTGCAGCTCGTGGACATCTATTCTGATAATTTGCTTCGTTTTTGAATCCTACCACATATTTCAGTTATATTCTCTGTATCTTTCCGCAAGAGAAACCACCGAACAGGTTTAAAGACAATTTCATTTTAAACATGGTGACATTAATGTTGTTCTCTTAAGTTGTTTGCTTCTTCGGATGGTTGTCTGGCATCATGTAAGTTTTTAGGCCGTCTGGCATTATTCATGTGATTGGAACTTTGCTGATTTAAGAGGGTGCTTAATCAGGGCAGAGCAGAGCATCGTCAAATTCTAGGCAAGCTTCAAGTAAAATAGTGAAGGTTGCACATAGTCATAGCCGAAAATACGCCCGTCTTCTTCAGTGTGATGAAGGTAATGGCTCAATGTAACAAGTGGGGTAAATGGAATTGCTGAAGGCATGCTAGAGAGCAGGGTGATTGGAATATAAATTATTCAAATGAGAATTTATCACCTTCGTTATTTCTCTATCTGCCGCAATCTTCAAGCGAATCCCTGAAGGAGAGAACAGGAGAAAAAACACTCAGACAAATAAAGATCAAAAGACGGCCTTGGCGGAAGGCAGCAGCATGCGTGTACTGGGATCCTTCTTGTTAGCTCTTAGTGGCATTTTCCGAAGGTTGCTTGTCAAAGAGAATGTGTTACTCCGAACTACCAAGCAAGATTAGTGACACGGTCGACACTGTCAATGAGTTTTATTCATCAACTATTAGAATTTATGTAAAATAATAATAATAATAATAATAACAAGAATAATAAAAGGAGGAGTAATGCAATAAAGTCAACAACTGTAAAATCAGAATAGAGAAAAGGTTTTGTTTTATATATACTAAAAGAATTTAAAATTTCCAATAACAAATTAACAAGGAGAAGGATACTGTTTGTTTTCATTATCTTAGGCTTAAAGTGAAAGATAAAAGAAAGGCATTGATGGTAGAACAAATGAATATTCTACTAGCAAGTCCATCATTACATTCCGTGATTTAATTGTTATGAACTCGCATAATATTCCTATGACACAAATTTTTTGCTTTTTATTATTAAATTTAGACTTTTCCAACTCATTTTTTTCATTGTCTTTTTCTTTCATGCGTGCATAGACCGCAAAAGGTGTATCAAGGAATATGATATATATTTTACAGGTAAATCAAATGAAACGCATATTTCACTCTTGGTGGATAACATCTTTACCTATTTATTTATTTATTATATGTTAAAGTTCTCTTTGCATTCATTAAAGCTTCATCCTCCAAACTGATCACTAATTAACTCCAACAGTGAATAAACATCAATTGTCTTCTTGCTTTACAACTCAAAAACAAGAAGTCTATTCTTGAGACAATCAAAGTTTTTTATTTTGTCTATCTCTTGAGATTTTCATCCCCCAATATCTGTCTAGTCAGACCCAAATCTTTCATTACAAAAGATTTACTCAACTCCTTTTTTAATCTGTCAATTTTCATAGTATCACAACCAACAATCAATATATCATCAAGGGCAAATTACATTTTACCCCCTATGGTTTAGTATTTTTTTTACATAACCCCCCTATAATTTCAAAAACTATACATAACTCCCTCATGGTTTGGATTAAAGTGTCACAGTGACGGAAATAGTCATTCGTAACGGAATTTTTAAAAATGTTGAAATCACCCTTATAAATACATGATATACTAATCCCGTATGATTTTTATATTTTAGCATATAACCCCCTTATGATTTAATATTTTACCATATAAACCCGTTATGATTTTCAAAATATACACATAACCCCCCTTACTTAATAAATAATTTTCAACTTTACATAAGGGTATTTTTGACATTTTAAGTGATTCCGTTACAAATGATCATTCTCGTCATTTTGACACTTTAATCCAAATTATGAGTGGGTTATATATAGTTTTTGAAATCATGAAGGGGTTATGTAAAAAAAGTTAAACCACAGGGGGGTAAAGTAGAATTTGCCCTATCATCAACATACACCAGGAGAATAATAAAATCACCATTTGAAAAAATTTTCATATAAACACAGTGATCATATCTAATCCTGTGGTACTCGTAGTCTATTATAAAGGAATCAAACTTCATGTACCCTTGTCTCGATACCTATTTCAACCCATATAAACTCTGTTGAAACGGCATATAAGGTTTTCCTTGTCACTTTCTCTGAATCCCTCCGGTTGGTCCATGTAGATCTTCTCTCCCAAGTCACAATGCAGGAAAGCTATCTTCATATCAAGTTGCTCGATCTCTAAATTTAAACTAGGTGCAATATCCAAAACAATTCGAATTGACGATATCTTTACCACGGGAGAGAAAATTTCTTCAAAATCTACACCCTTCTTTTAACTAAATCCCTTCACAACCAATCTTGCTTTATACTTTGGTTGTCAACTATGCTCCTGAGTTTTCAACCTATAAACCCATTTGTTTTTCAGAATTCTTTTATCTTTAAGCAGTTTCATTAACTCATAAGTGTAATTCTCAAGTAGGGACACAATCTCTTTTTGCATGGCTCGCAACCAATCATTTTTGTTCTCATGCTCTAGAGTCTCACAGT